ATTTTTTTTCTTTTTGTATTTTAGGGCAGGGTCTACAGGGTGCTCAGGGTCTCACTGCTAGATCAGACTCGTAGTGACGGCCTGTTCACAGCCTCCCAAGAGCTGGGCTTGCAGGCGCGCCACCGCACCCATCTCAGCGCCCTGCACCTGCTTGCAGGCGCGGTCATCAGCTGAGCTTTTGGCTGCCCTACCACCAGTGCAGATATTCCATTCTTCTGAAATTCTGTACCATTTGTGCTTTTATATTGCCTTATTTCTGTCTTTGTTCCTGTTATTTGTTCTAGTTTTTGTTTTTCCTCTTTAAAAAAATTAAAATTAAAAAAAACGATATACGCATCTGCACTTATTCTAGAATATGTAGAAATGACAAAGAAGTAGAAAAGGAACAGTAACTCCTGATCCTAACTCCCTGAGCTCCCTCCCTGGCTGCTGCTGGAGTGTGTGTGTGTGTGAGTGAGAGAGAGACAGGCACGCACGCGCACGCGCACGCACACACACACAGACAGCAGTGATCATACAGTCTACTTGCTCCATCGAACTCCAGGCCAAACACACTTTTCCCACGCCATGATAGCATCCCTTGGATGCCTACCTGATGCCTACAGAGAGGGTGGCCCTGGCCAGATTCTGTCGCATCCCCAGGGCAGCCTGGGCCTTGGCAGAGCCAGACCTTTCACAATATACTTCCCAAACCTGTCAGGGCAGTGGTTCCCAGAGGACCGCAGGGGGCCATTACAGGTGAATCATCCAGGTTACTGTGTCAACACTAAACACACACACACACTTTAGGTTTGTTGAGCGCCCCAGGGAGGGAGGTTTAGAAACTGAGCTGCTGTCTCCCTCTGGAGTCACCAGTGGACAAGGTGACCGGCAGGCAATGGAGAGCTCCAGGTGTCCACTTGTGGTAAGATTCTGGAGCAGCAGGGCCCTCCCACAGCCCTGGCCACAGCCACCAGAGATGCTAGGGAGAGACACATGGAGGATGGAGGTTGGAGGTCGGAGGTCGGAGGCCAGCCTGAGGCTGACAGCGCTGAGGCAAGTGCCAGGAAGGCGTCTGGAGCAAGCACCGTACTTCCACAGACCAGGGCAGCAGCCGGAGGAAGATGCAGGCAGAGGGTGAGGAGGAAGGCCCACCCCGGGGACCCCAGAGGAGACCCCAGTCTCAGCCACATTTCCAGCGGGGCCTTGTGGCAGCCATGGGGTGGGGTGAGGCTGGTTCAGGCTGCTGGGGGTGGGATGTTGTTACCTACTGGTTTTGCTTTATTTTTCCTCTTTTAAAACATTTATTTTTTTGGGCCTCACAATACACACACGTAGCTTTACATTTTTAAGTGTTTACATCCTATATAAGGTAGTCAAAGTCATTCTTTTTTATCTATCTTTTGGTCCCGGAGATCAAACTCAGGACCCTGTGCCTGCCAGCTCTTCGCCGCTGAGCTCCTCCCTGGCCCCGGTCACCCCCAATGCTGCCTCCCCCAAATCACCATTAATGAGTGCATGCAAATTCCTCCTTCGAACAGTTTTTGCTACACAGATACTAACATTTGTGTATACATTTTTTGTAGAAGTGGGATACCCTATTTCCTCTTGCCTTTTACTTACCAGCATACTCTGAAGAGACGCTAGAGGGCAGGGTGGGGCTCAGTGGTGGGAGCCCAGTCCAGCTTGGCACAACCCCCAGGGCTGACACAAAATAAATTTTTTAAAGAATGTTTTGAAGATAGCTAATATCTTTGGGCTTCATGGATCAGCACTGTGCCAGGGGATGTTTTTATGGGTTTTTTCCACATACACAATGCAGTTTTCTTTCCTCTTCTCTCCCCCTTCTCCCCTCCCCCCTTTCTCGGTCAGTGGTGCTGGAGTGGAACACCAGGCCCACCTCTGCCCCGCCACACCCCCAGCTCTCTGCAGTGTTCGCGGGGCTGCTTGCAGCTCCACGCCACAGCGGTGCGGCTCAGCAGGGAAGCAGGCCGCTGCGAGGCACCTCTGAGCTACTGGAAAAGCCTCTCACCCCGCGCTCCTGGGTGGGGAAGAGTCCAGAGCACCCCAGGATGGGAAACTAGGCTCCAACAGCCGCCCGGGGTGGGGGTGGACCCCAGAGGGAACCCCAGGGCCATTCCTGGAGCTGCCTGCTGGAGAGTCACTTATCCTAGAACTCTGGCCTTGAAAGGAAAAAAGTTACCCAGTTGTCTCCAAGAACTAGGACTATTTTAAAAACCGATTAATTCTAAAGTTACCAAAAATTGTTTTCACTTCAAATTCCGAAGTGGTAATGGGCATTTTGCTTACAATACTAACAGATACTGTTTTTAAAGATTAACGATGAATAAAAAAAAAAGGGGGGGGGCAAGGAGATGGCTCAGTGGAATAAGCGCTTCCCTGGCAAGCGGCAAGGACCTGAGTTCAATCCTTTGTTCCACCAAAAAAAAGAAAAAAAAAAAAAAAGAAAAAGAAAAGAAAAAAGGTTAACGATGAATAACAGTGTTGCATTTCTAAATTCTTCCCTTACCAGTAACTATATGAAGCCTAAAAAGGTGCACCTGTCCCTCTCTTTTACACAGCTCTGCCAGAACAGGAACACGAATTTCTTGTAAAATAGTATCTTCTTCCTCAGTCCAGAAGAACCAGAGTCGAGGCTTTTGGGACCAACATGAAGAACCACAATCTACATCCTGCTCTGTACTCACACACAAGAGGGACATGAAGATAGTGAACAAAATTGGACAATGTAGAAGAGTGGAGGAGATTCAAGCTGGCGGCCTCCAAAATCAGTTTTATTAATTTGTGGAAAGGGGTTTCCCCGAGCACGTGGGTGCTGGGGCTGGAACACGGTGCCTCCCACAGGCAGGCGAAGGCTGTCACTGAGCTACATTCTCAGCTTGTGCAAAGCTCCTAAAAACCATTAATTTGCTGGGGATCTAGCTCAGCAGCATAGCACCTGCCTGACAAGCCCAAGATGGTGAGTTTGATTCCTGATAACTCCTGCCCCAACCAAAAAAACCAAAACCATAAATTTTCACATCCAATGAGAAACTGTTGGGCCTGGGCTGGGATGTGGGGACGGAAAGAGAAGTGACCTTCATTAAGCACTTCCACTGTGCACAATACGCACTGATTCCAAGACAATGAGTAACGAGAACTGAGTCTGCTCTCCCACCCGACCCACAGGCGGCTGCAACGCTACAGGAGATCATGATCCTGCGCTCCTAAGACATACCACTACCTAAGGAGCTAGGAGGTTTTTGTTTCTTTAGACAGCGTCTTGCTGTACAGTGTAGGCTGTATAGGCTGGCCTGGAACTCGCAGTGATCCTCCTGCCTCAGCCTCCTAAGTGCTAGGATTACAGGCCTGCACCACCACTTCCAGCTTAAGTAACTAACACTGTATATTTTTTTCTTTGCGTTAATGTCTACTAGCTAAGTCAAGAGACTCTTAAGTCTGTGGACAATGTACTCAATTCACAGGCTGGTGACAGGCACATGGGGGCAATAAATAAAGCCGGGTGACTCACTGATATAATTCAATACCTACCAAACTGTTTTCAATAAAAGTCTATGGCATAATACTTTCAAAAAAAAAAAAAAAAAGCTGGGCGTGGTGACACATGCTTGTAACTCAGTACTCTGACAGCCCAGGACAGGAGGACTGAAAGTTCAAGTCCGGCTTGGGTGACTTAGCAAGACCCTGCCTCAAAGCAGGAAATCAAAGCAGAAGAGCTCAGACTGTGGACTGAAGAGCTCAGTGAGAAGGCCTTGGATTGACTCCAGTACACGGGAAAAAAGCAGCAACAGGTGCGTCCTACAAAGCCACTCCAACACAGCCATACCGGGGACATGGGTGCAAGCCGCCCCAACCACCTTGGTTCCACTTTCTGTGGCTATTGTTACTTTCAGCAACCACCGACAGTGAGACATTTGCAGAAAGAGACATGGTCCACGCCGCTGTCGTATACTATATTGTCGTAATTACCTTGTTATTGTTTATTGTTGTCACAAGCTCTTACTGTGCCTAATTTGTAAGTTAGTCTTTTTTTAAAAAAATTTTTTATTTTTATTTATGTGTGTGTGTGTGTGTGTGTGTGTGTGTGTGTGTGGGTGGCCAGCTCAGCCCACCTGGGGCGGGGCTGGCTGGCATGTGGTGCTGGGGATTGAACCGCCGCCCTGTGCTTTGTTGAGCTTGCTCTAAGCAGGTGCTTTAGACCCCTGAGCCATCTCGCCAGCCCTGTAAGTTAGTCTTTATCACGCACAGGAAACAATACATACAGGGTTAGGTACGACTCACAGCCCCAAGCGCCCTCAGGGATCTGGAACTTGGCCCTGGACTACTGCATATGCATGTCTAGGAAGATCCTTTCTGTTCTGCTCTGTTCTGCTCCACTTCTGTGAAGTGCTGGGACACTGGCCACGAGCCCTGGCCTGCTCACCATGTTCATGCACGTGTGTGTGTGTGTGTGTGTGCGCATGCATGTGTGTACCCGTGCCCAAGACACAAGATCGCAGTGTGCTAAGCTCTCTGGTGCTGTTTTAGTCTGTCCCTCCCTTTCCTTTTTTGTTCTCCTTGGGGTACTGCGGATTGAACTTAGAGCCTTCACACTGAGCTACAGCCCCAGCCTTTTTAAAATAAACAAATTTACTTATTTGTTTACAGATAGGCTCTGGCTAAGTCTCTAAGTTGCCTAGGCTGGGCTTGGACTTGTGATCCTTCTGTTTCAGCCTCCCAGAGTGTGGGCATTACAGGTGTGTGCCACCACACCCATCTCTCTTCTATTTCTTAAAGAAAAGAAAGACAAAAAAAAGTTGGGCAAGATTCACTAAAATAGTTTCTAGTAACTATTTTTAAAATGCTGCTCTCAGATAATAAAATGTATTTTAGCCAACAGAAGTCTCCCAGCGTACCAGGTTCCCCCTCAGATCCTGAATGTGTGGCACTGGCCAGGGCTTGGCCACAGGAAAGAGCCCTGCCAGCGCTAGGGCAGGGGGAGCCACAAGGAGTTCGCTCACCTTGTAGTGGAAGCAGCCGGCCGAGGACCCGCTGGAGCCGCCGTGCTCGCTTTTCACAAGGTGGCTGTAGTTGTCGACCTTGGAACTAACGTGCCGGTGGGACCCAGGGTCGTCCGTGATGGGGCAGATAAAGTAGTCTTCCTCTTCATCACTGTCTGTACCGGAGTGCCCATCACAGCCACTCTGGGAGGAGGGGCGGCCATCCACGCCTTCCAGATGGAAGATGAGGTCCTCGTCCGCCATGCTCTGGGGACAGACCCCTTGGGCCCCAGCCAGAGCAACGGGGCCGGTGCAGCAGGGAAGGTCCTGCAAGGGAAGCCAGTGCAGAGGGTGGGTGCTCTTCCTGGGATGACAGCTCGCAGGCAGGCGCCTGAGCTGCCCTACAGGGGCAGCAGCCAGCATCTGCGCCCAGAGTGAAAGCCAGAGCTGTCTTTGGGGGGCAGCTGCTGCATCCAAGAAAACCGCAAAGTCCCAACTCGCTGGCCCCGTCACCCCACTTCTAAGAACCCAGGCCTTGGAAAGGTTGGAGCCAGAGGTGCCCTAGCAACCAGGGAGCTTCTCAGAACACAAATCAGATCCAGGCACTCGCCTAGCGCCCTGCAGCAATCTTCCCTGGAATTTGTAATAAAACCCAGACGCCTTTTCAAGGCCTTAGGACTGAGAAATCTGGCCCGGGAGGTCTCCTCCTGACTGTTCTCCAGGTACCCAGCCCTTCTCTGTCCCACCAGGGTCCCCATAGTTGTCCCTAGACCTGGAACAACTGTCCCACACGGCTCTTGGTCACCGCCAGGTTCCCAGCTCAGAAGTCGCCCTTTGGAGCAGGCGTCCCCAAAGCCCTCAGGCGTGCATCCGGCCACTCTCTTAGGCCCCCTTCCTTTTCCTCAGTCATTTCTGCACCCTGAAATCATCCTGCTTACTGGTCACTATCCCCCTGTGTCCTCCTGCTCCCCCAAATGCCCTGGGTACCTACGTGTCCCTGGGAGGGAGGCGTGCCCGGGAACAACCTGTACAATGCAGCAAATGGAAGCAGGACACCAACAGTCCCGTGTCTGTTGTGGAAGCCATCGCGTACAGTACAGGTTCTCACTGTACACCGGGAAATATTTTGGGTTTCTTTTCCTTTTTCTTTTTTTGCAGAACCAGGGATTGAACTCAGGCCCTGCGCTTGCCAGGCAAGCACTTATTCTACTGAGCCATCTCCCTGGCCCTCTTTTTATTATTTTAAAAAGAGAGAGAGAAAAAAAAAAACCTGGCAAAACCAAAACTACAAAAAAATAAAAATGATGCAGAATTTCAAAACAAGGTGCTCCGAGGCCAGGGAGATACCCCAGCCACACAAGCAGCTGCCTGGCAAGCACAAGGTCCCGAGCTGGATCACTGGTACCAAATTAAAGAAAGAAAAGTACAAGGTGCTCGTGAATTGACAAGAGCTGTTACAACACACCCGCACACCCTGCTATCTTCACAGAAGTTGCCACGTCACTCGACACATGCACTGGAGAGCCACCGATCAATCAAGAAAGGGGTAAGTTTAGCTACCCGCGGATGTGCGAAAGAATCAGGAGGTTGTCGAGAACAGCAAGGCCGTCGGGTAGAGCTCTCACACTCGTGGCCAGCTGGATTCCAGCGAGGAGCCAGGGCAGCTGGGTCTCATGTTTAGGGGCAACTCATTTTCCACAAAGGTGCTGAGGAAACTGAAAGAAGAACCTTCAGCCACGCTGTCAGGGCAACTGGCTGTCCTTCCACCACGTGTTGAAGTTAACTCAAAACAGATCAAAGACAGAAACAAAAGCTGCCGCTGTGCTTCAGGAAGATACAGGAGACCGTCCTCCTGACCAGACCGTCCTCCTGCTCTGGGGCATTACTTAGTACATATGTGCGTCCGTGCAGAAGCCGTGCACAGGTGTCCACAGGGGCATTACGCGTGACAGTCAAAAGCAGAAACCACCCAAGTGTCCAGACAAATGGATTTTAAAAAGCAGTCTAGTTACATAGTAGAACTTTTCTAAGGACCAGTACAAACTTCAACAGTAAACCTAAGACAGAAGAAACAGTCATCAAAAACTACTACTGCATGATGCAATTTTTAGGAAATGTCTCGAGAAAGCCCGACTCTTCAGAAACAGAAAACCAATCGGGGAGGGCCGGGCCACGGCTGAGCGCAGAAGGGTGGTGGGCAGAAACAGCCTCGCGTCTCTTCCGAGGTGACAATCACGTTCCAGACTGACCACGGTGCTGGCTGTGCGGCTGAATACACCAAAAGTCACTGAAGTGTGCGTTCGCAACTGAGTGGGTCATACGACGTGTGACTTGTATTTCAATAAAGTCAAAGTTTTTAAAAAGTTCAATTTAAAAAGCAAGTTGCAGAAAATCACAGCGTGGTGTGAATAGGAGAAGAGAAAGGACAATGTCTTCGAAAGCGCTGGAACTCTCCAGGAAGGCCTGGCTCCATGGGCACGGAGGGAAGCAGGAAGCCAGGAAGAAAGGTGACTTGCTAGACGCCTGTACACTTGCGCCCTGTTCTCTTCGCAGAGCTGGACGGCTTTCGACACAAGATAATGTTAAATTAACCTATTTTTTAAAAATTAAGGCTGAGGCAGGAGGATCACTTGAGCCCAGGAGCTGGGGTCCACCTGGCATCAGAGAGAAGGTGCTCATTTCATAAAAGAAAGCATTTTTTACACCAAGCCAGCAGTTCTAATTATTCTCTACAAGTCTGTCTCCCAGCCTTCTGTTTACGGCTTTGGTCTTTCTTTTTCTTTATACTCCACCCTCATGTTAATTTCTCCACCCATGATTTGCTGCCCATCGATGCCAATGTTGTTTCTTGTCTTCTGAGCAAGGCAGAGCCACCAGCTGGGTGTTGACACCAGAGCCACCTGACTGCCCTGGGCCTGGGCCAGCTGCCTCCAGCCCTGCTGCCTCCTGGCCCTGGCAGCCCCTGGCTGGATTCCCTGCTGACCAGGACAGTGTGCTGCTGGAGCTGCCAGGACGCCCGCCAGGTCAGCGACATCCGGGTGCCACAGTGCCGTGGGAGGGGCCCGAGCACGGCTTCGGCCGGCACACCCCAGGCAGTGTGGCTCAGTGCCGAGAGCTCTGATCAGGACCCTGGCCACTGGGCAACCCCTGGTTCTGCTGCAGGCGGTCTTGCTGAATTAATCCATCTCACCAACTGCACTTGTGCTGGCAGGAGCCAAGTGGGGAAGCAGCCAGGCTGCGGTCCTGCAGCCTGTTCACATGGGACCTAGGAACAGAGCCACAGCCCTCGGCCACCTCTGACCACGACTCTAATGTTCTCCTGACCCTGGGAAACAGGAGCAGCTGCAGGCGAGTGGCTGTGACCCTGCCGGCCACGGTGCCTCGTACACAGCAGGCGCTGGACAGGGACTCTCGGCGGAGCCAGCCTCATCTGTCTGGTGGCCTCTGAACTGTCAGAAGTCTGCTCGTAAGGCGGCATGGCAGTGCCTGCTAACTGTTAACTGTAGTGACAGAACCAGCATTGGCAGAGAGCTCAGTACATGGCAGCGCTGAAAGGGCAGCCTTTCCCAGACGCCTCTACAGCTGTGTGCGGTCACGTGACCAAACACTGGCTGGGGGTGTGAGCAGAACCGCTCTGTGCAGGGCCCCTGGGCTCTCTCCCTCCCTTCTGGCTGGAACGCTGGCTTGACTGCTACAGCCCCAGGAGCTACACGGGCCAGAACACAGAAGCCATGGTCAGAGAGGCCAGTGGCGCCTTGGGACGGACAGTGCCTGGGTCTCTTACATCACAGGGCCACACAGGATCCCAGACCCCAGCTCCAAACGCTAGTGCCATCTACTGTAACTTTCCTTCCCCTTTACTACCCACTACCTGCTAATTCTACCTGGTCCGGTGTCCCTTGCCCTCCCAAATCACAAGTCACACTGCTTACAACATAGCTGGTGCCTAGGCATGGTCAGCCAGGGAAACTGTGGCCCGCTGTATGCTCAGCAGAGTCGGGGCATCCAGGCTGGGGGTGGCAGAGTCCCCCAGTTAGCGAGTCCTTCCCCGCCCCCGGCTTGTTCCACCGCACCTGGCTCACACCAGCCTCCCGGCACAGCCCGCCATCAAGCTTGCACTTCCTGTGGCCCAGAGTAGGCACCCGCTCCGCGAAGCGAGGCCTCGGGCAGGTGTAGGAGCACAGCTACTGGCCTCAAGATCCCCCAGGTTTCCTCTGCCCTCGTCAGGCACTGATAGGGCTGACACCCTTGATGAGCCCTGGGGAAACACGCTGCAGAAGCTGGCAAGCCCCAGCTCCAGGCTCCTGCTCCTCCTCCTCCTCCTCCTCTGTCCTCCAGAGCGAGGCTGCAACTGGGAGGCATGACAGCACCCATCACATTAGCTCACCAGCGCCCAGGGCCCACACAGAGCCAGCCTGAGACAGAGGAACTGACACACTCTGCGGCTTTTCCAGCACCATAACTACAGAGGCTGAGCCCTGCACCCAGCCAGGCTGGTGTCCTGGATATCTGTTTAGGAGCAAAGCCAGGCTGCTTCCGGAGTCTTTGGGGAACAGATTATCTCCAGCTCTCACCTATGAACTATGGCTGTCGCTATGCCTTGCTATTCAGGGCTCTGCTGGCAACCAGGGAGCAGGAAACTCTGCTTGCAATGTCCTGGGTGAGTCCTGCATGCAGGTCAGGAGCCTCTGCCTGGGCAGATCAGGCTGGAGGATCCCCACCCTGACCCCAAGGGCCAGCATCCCAGAGCTACCATCGCAATGATGAGCAGAAACACCCAAAGGACACCCAGGATTGGGGGCAGATTTACTTACACTGACCACCACTGAATGGGATCATTCCCAGAGTATCAGACTCTGCACTCTGGTGGTCTAGGGCTTTTATGAGACAAGCAGGTGCAAAAGCAGGATGGTTTGCCAATTGGTGATCGGTCTAGGCAATGTGCATCATAGTGACCAGCTGGGCATCACAGTGACCAGCCACTTCTTCTCAGAGACAGAAACCACCGGAACTGGAACAGGAACTGTTACCTGGGCAACAGGTACAGTGTAGGCGGGGGGAGTGCAGAGCTCAGTGGCTGGGGTGCAGTGTTCACACGACCCAGGGCTATATGATAGGTACCTGCCCGCAGTAACTGATTCAGAGGTGTTCATGCGACTTGAGCCAACCCAACCTGGCCCTACCCGGGCAAGCCCAGGGCTTTTGGTTGAGTGAATGGAAGAGAGCTCAACCCTTGGTGTTGGCCACAAATTACAGCTGGGCTGAGGCCACCACAGAGCAAAGACACCTAGGAGAGTAGAACTAGAGATGAACAGGAAAAAGCCTAGCAATGACACCTCCGAGAACTGATGTGCAAGAAGCTGAACGATCCGCTCTTTCTGGACTTCTCAGTCACGGATATGCTAAGCCCACCCTTTAAGAGGGGGATGACCTGAGCGGGAACACCTACAACATGACAAGCCCAACCCCGCCAAGACTTAGGGCTCAGGTGTGTCATTCACCTATAGTAAGAACAGCACCCGTTTCCTACCACAGCCATCTGCATGACTCCCGGCTGAACACTGTTTAACCTACCCAAGCTCGTTGGGAGCTCACAAATAACAAGCTCATAAACAACATCTGCAAGAGCACAGGGGTGGCTCTGTCTGCCTTCCCTACTCCTAGCCATTCTTCATGTCATTCTCAGTGGACGCTTCTAAGTAACATGCTTGCCTTGCTCTTCCTTATTCCCCAATTATCTGTTGCTGATTTCCAGGTCATATGGAATTTCCCAGCGATGAATAAGGGATCAGCCGCACCACTCTCTTTCCCCATCTCACTTCCACATTGTGGGTCTCCTAGTGCTTCTGGGCCTGGGGATTGAACCCAGCACTTCCACACTGCGCTACATCCCCAGCCCCCTTTTATCCATTTTTAATTTTGAGACAAGGTCTTGTCTAGTAGCTCAGTTGTCCAGACCGGGCAGCAACTTTTGATCTTCCTGACTCAGCCTCCTAGGGGGGTCAGGATTA